TACTACTTAGTAAAAGATGTCATTAAGGGAGTGGCTCAGTGGGTTAAGCCTCTGCCTTCGGCTCAGGACACGATCTCAGGGTCCTGGGATGGAGTCCCCACTGGGCTCTCTGCTCAGCAGGGAGCCTGCCTCCCCATCTCCCTCTGCCTGCCTCTCTGCCTACTTGTGATCTCTCTCTCTCTCTCTCTCAAATAAATAAATAAATAAATGATAGTTATTTCCTAAAAATGTCATTAAGGAAGTTCTGTTCACAAGCAATATTTAATAATTTCAACTCTGCATGTAACTTACAACATAACCTCCAAATATGTAAGGTCAATGACAAAATTATCAGAGAAATGGACAAATTCACAATCATCATGAGTGACATTTTCCATGAGCTTTGTAGTACTTGATGGGAAAAAAAATAAAAATTGGAACATTATAATTAAAAATTCTAATTTAATGGGTGTAATGTTTATATATACTAGCACAACCAACTATATTTGAATACTCACTATTTTTAAGACTATAGAGAGTATATGGGGTGCCTGGCTGCGTCAGTCAGAAGAGCATGTGACTCTTGATCTTGGGGTCATGAGGTGTCATTTTTATATAGGGTGTAAAAATTACTTAAATAAAAAAACTTTTAAAAATATTTTTAAAAAGAAGAATACAGAGAATTTTTTTTTAATTGCCCACACATTAGGGCATAAAGCAAGTTTCAACAAATTTCAAAGGATTTAGGTTGCACATACCATATCCTCCAACCACAATGTGATCAAGCACTTGTTAAGAAAATAATAACAAGGGGGTCCTGGGTGGCTCAGTTGGTTAAACAACCTCCCTCTGCTCAGGTCATGATCCTGGAGTCTGGGATCGAGTCCCACATGAGGCTCTCTGATTGCCAGAGAGTGTTTCTCCCACTGTCCTCTCTCCTCTCATGTTCTCTCTCTTATTCTTTCTCTCAAATAAATAAATAAAATCTTAAAAAAAAAAAAAAGAAAATAATAACAAAAGCATAACTAGAAAATTTTTTATGTTTGTTTGGAAATTAAGAGACATACTTCCAGGTGATTCATGGGTTAAAGTAGAAATCACAATAAAACTGAGAAAATACTTTGAACTTAACAGTGAAAATACTATCAAACTTAATGAATGTAGCTATTTAAAGGAAAATAAATAGCCTTAAATGCATTTAGGAATGAAGGTCGAAATGAGATTTTTAAAAAATTAATCTCGGGGGGCGCCTGGGTGGCTCAGTGGGTTAAGCCGCTGCCTTCGGCTCAGGTCATGATCTCAGGGTCCTGGGATCAAGCCCCGCATCGGGCTCTCTGCTCAGCAGGGAGCCTGCTTCCTCCTCTCTCTCTGCCTGCCTCTCTGCCTGCTTGTGACCTCTGTCTGTCAAATAAATAAATAAAATCTTTAAAAAAAAATAAATAAAAAATTAATCTCGGGAAGTTAAAAAAAGAACATCAAAATAAACTCAAAGAAAGTGCAAGTAAGAGTGAAATAGGAGCCTCCCTACTTAAAAGGGAGTGGAAGTTATATGTAACGGTTTGTTTTTTCTTGTTTGTTTTGTTTTGCTTTGTTTTGTTTGGAGGGGTTATTCTAGGAAGACTTCCTACAGGAAATGTACCTGAACACTTTATAAATCCCTTACAGTACTATGACTTTTTTCTTCTTGTAATAAATTGTGGTAAAATATACACAACATACAATTTATTATTTTAACCCTCTTAAGTGTACAGTTCAATGCCATTAAGTACACTGACGATGTTATGCAATCATTACCACTATCTATATCCATAACTTTTTCATCATCCTAAAGAGAGACTCTACTCATGAAACAATAACCACTCATTCCCCTCTCCTCTCAGCCTCTGGTAACCTCTAATGTACTTTCTGTTTCTCTGAATATGCCTTTTCCAGGCACCTCATATAAGTGGAATCATATAGTATTTGTCCTTTTGTTTCTGGCTTCTCTCAAATGTTTTCAAGGTTTGTCCATAATGTAGCATATGTGAGAATTTCATTCCTTTTTTAGGGCAGAACAATAACTCATTGTTTGAATATACCACATTTTTTTTTAAAGATTTTATTTATTTATTTGACAGAGAGAGATCACAGTAGACAGAGGCAGGCAGAGACAGAGAGAGGGAAGCAGGCTCCCCGCTGAGCAGAGAGCCCGATGCAGGACTCGATCCCAGGATCCTGAGATCATGACCTGAGCCGAAGGCAGAGGCTTAACCCACTGAGCCACCCAGGCGTCCCACCACATTTTGTTTTTTAATGGCATATTAGTCTTCCTCATCATTTCTACTACCTTATGACAATATTATTATTTACTAAGAGCTTTTATAAGCTCTTGGATTTGTTTGGTTTTTTTTGCAATACTCCAAGCAATAAATCACAAGTTCTTGTAGTGAATTAGACTTGTTATCACTTGGTTTATAGAAGAGGACATAAAGGGAAAAAATGAATTTTACACTGTACTTTTCCCCAAATAAATTTCTATTTGATTTATAATCTCTTCTTTTTTTAAAGATTATTTATTTATTTGTTTGACAGACAGAGATCACAAGTAGGCAGAGAGGTAGGCAGAGAAAGGGGGGAAAAGCAGGCTCCCTGCTGAGCAGACAGCTCGATGCAGGGCTCGATCCCAGGACCCCAGGATCATGACCCAAGGCGAAGGTAAAGGCTTTAACCCACTGAGCCACCCAGATACCCCTAGAATCTCTTTTTTTTAAAAAAAGATTTTATTTATTTATTTGCAGGGAGAGCACAAGCACAGGGAGCAGCAGGCAGAGGGAGAAGCAGGCTTCCCGCTGAGCAGGGAGCTCAATATGGGGCTCGATCCCAGGACCCTGGGATTAAACCAAGATTCTCTGTTTGTTTTAAGATTGACTTCTGCTAAATATCTCTCTCAGCTAGGCCAATTTGCAAGGGTAATGGTAGCATATATAAATAGGCAAAATATCATTTAAATAAATATGAAACAACCTTTTCTTACAAGGGAAACTACATATGCCCACCAAAAAAGTTCCTGGGAAACCAGCCACAGCATATATTTATCGGGCTGTTTTGTTACATGTCAAAAGTCTTTTGAATAAATGAGACATTTTAAATATTTTCTCATCCAATCTGGTATTTAATTCCCTACAAATTTTAGTTTATGTTCAATTTCAAATTATCTCAGTTCTCAATTTCAAATTTGGATTATTTATCTCTTTAGTGTTCCTTTCTCTACAAAAAAAAAAAATTAAAGGTGAAAAGGGTAAAAAATTTAAATTAAATCTGGCCAATTTAGTTGCTTATTAATAATGTTATTAAATATTAAAGTACAAAAAATTACTGGCCAAAAAATGTTTGTGGTTAAAAAAAAATGTACCTACAAAGTTCCCTGAGAACATTTAACTTGTTTCATTATGTGAGCCTTCACTCTTATATTTTATATATTTTCTGCTATACGAAGGTACTATTTTTAGCACCTATTTTTCTCAGCTTCCCTATTTATATTTTGATATCTATATCTACCAAATCACTTTGGATTCCCAGCATAGAGAAAACACTGCAGATTTACCTTCTCCCCGAATGTAAAACATGAATGCAAAGGGGAAAAAAATACTAACGGCATAAATCTTCAAAGAGTACTTTGCCTTACATCTATAAATACCTCACAGAAATTAAAAACGTCTGGGAACTTAAAATTGGTCAAGAAAATACATGTTTTAATTCTCCTAAGTATAGCGCAGGGAATAAAGTTTGGCACCAACATCTTCAAAAATATTGTCTGACTATATCTTTAGAATATTTGAAGAAAAAATATTCTTCTCCTTTTTAAAAATATTTATTTATTTGAAAGACAGGGAGAGAGAACATGCACGTGTGAGCTGGGGGGGCGGGCAAAGGGAGAGGGAGAATATCTCCAGCAACTTCCCACTGAGCACAGAGCTGATGGACTCAATCCCAGGACCCTGAGATCACAACCTGAGCCAAAATCAAAAGTCCATACTCAACCAACTAGGCCATCCAGGTGCCCCATTATATGCAATGGGGCATATAATTATATGCTTTCTTCATAAGAATTTTTGAGGTTATTGGGTTTTAAAAAAATAATACAACTTTATCCCTTCTTCAGTTATATTGCTGTAGACTGGGAAAAATATGTAACTGAGAATTATGGGGATTATATTTTGGCACATATGCTTTTTTTTGGTACATTTTTGTTTGGTACTTCATTTTGCTTTGTGTTATAGATATTTGTGCATGTACTATATGACCAACTAGAATATAAATGACTTATAAGTAAGAAAAATAGCCTATTTCATGATTGCATTACCCATCATGCTTAATGTAGCACTTTGCACATAGTAGGTTCCCAATAAATACTGGTAGGATATATAATTATTGAAAAATTTTGTAAAAAAATATTTAAATTAATAGTGAAAAAGGAGGTTACTTTATTCCTAATCAGATTGTAATGAAGACTATTTCAAACTCTATGCAGTGATGATACACACAAATATTTAAACTATTTATGTGCCTCAACTTGACATAATTTCATGATAACTTGATGGCAATCACATTTAAATATATTAGAATATTTTTGTAATAATGCTACTCTAGAATAGCAACTTTAATAGATGAGAAAACATGTTAAAGACCATTAACCTGAAAGAAACAGAGAACACTAAACATTTTTTTCAGAAATCAATGTATAAGGTTAAACATTCCGCTATAATATTTATGAGCAAACCTCAAATTAAAATTTATAAATGCAAACTACCAAAAGTTTCAGTTAGACAATAATTTAGATTATATTTTATAATTCCTCCTGTGTACACATTGATGAATACTATATAAAAAAAAAATTCTTTCTTCTTTAATGTCTTTGTAACTATCTAGTTTCAAAATTTATTTTGCTTGAATGCAAGGCCATGGCAATGCTACAAAAGCCCTTAATTATCAGTGAATATGATGATATTAATCAGTGAACACAAGTAAGTGATTTTCCTTACCTTTAGGACAGCAATGAATGGTACGAAGTTAGCTCTTTGGAGTCCATTTTTATAGAGATCTGAAAGAAAAAATTGCTTTTAGTTTTTTATTTAGCCTAAATCTAATGTTAGCTCATATCTCAGTCTAGAAAATAAAGCTTTCTATTTATAAAAAAGATAAACATGCAAAAGAAAAATAACCGAAATTGATTTCTATTCTGGTACTACACAAAATTCATTATATTCTTAATAAGAAGAAGAACTGACAAAATTATGAAAGAAAATCAAAAGACATTCAATCAAATTGGCTTTGAACTGTGGTTTAAAAAAAAAGTAATAAAAGAATTTGGAAGAGATCACAAATAATCCTAAGTCAATAACTCAACATCAGGTATTTTTTAAAGTATTTAATATTTCAACATATAGAATTTTACTGGGAAAGGAATTATATTGCCCTTTATCTCAATCTATAGTAAAAATTCTCAGTACACAATTAAAAATGTGTAACAAGATTAGCCTTTTAAGAAAACACATCAAAAGACAGAACTGTGCATGTATTTGTATCAAGATTACATATTTAACATAAAGGTAAATGACACTAAGGCCACTCTACTTTAAGAGAAATTACCTAAAAATTAAAATCCCATTCTCAAAAGACTATAAATTTAATAGTTATAAAATAATAAACAGCTAGTATTTTTTGCTTTAGAATATGCATGTGTCACAGTGCATGTACGTTCAGACATATCCACACACATGAACAGACACTGTCAAGAGCAAAGAAGTGGAAAGAGGTAGCAAATTTTAAGCTTTCCATATTTTTCTTCATTTTCTCTTCCTAAAAAAAAAGGACTTGGAATTTTATTCAAGAGATTGAAATGTTATTGCATATAAAGCATCCCTTTTAAAAGTAAAATCTAAAGTAAGGAGATTTTTTTAAAAGAGTATAAAAATGAGAACAGTAAAAAGTCTTCTCAATAATAAAACCCGTGAATTAGGTTATGCGTCTTGATTTTTTTAAAAATATGCTTTAGAGTTTCCTTCCTATATTTCCTTGTTTAGAGAAAATTTGATGACTGACATAGACCTCAACTGCCACATTTACTTATGGAAAGAAAATATGGTCATTAGGAAACATTTATTCTCTTTAGAAAAATATTCATCCTAACATCATTATAGTGTAGAATGTATTTGCAAAGCTCTTTGGTTAATTAAGGATAAGAGGCTTTAATTCAGTTACATTTAATTATTTATTTAGGGATATTACAAAAGGTAAGATAATGTTGGCTAGGCTGTTGGAATTTTCAAATCCAAAATGAGATCTTTCCTTTCCTATAATCAATAACCTCAAATGAGTCAATAGGTAAAATTCAGGAAGTGGATTATTAAGTTAGATGTTTTCATAATCTTCCCTAATTATTAGGTTGTTGGGGAAGGTACAAAAAACACTACTGTATGATAAGAGTTCACAGCCATGATTGCTAATAAGTGGTAACATTCGAAAATAAAATATTCTTATTTTATTGATTTATTTTTTAAGTAGGCTCCACGCCCAACATGGGGCTTGAACTCACGACTCCAAGATCAATAGTCACATGCTCCACTAACTGAACCAGCCAGGTGTCCCAAAAAATAAGATCATTTAAATACACTCAATGTTTACAGCATCTTTATTTGTAATAGCCAAAAACTGGAAGCAATCCAAATGACCATCATTACATGAGTGGATAAGTAAACTGTGGCTTTTCTGTATAATGAAATACTACTTAGCAATAAAAAGTAGAAACCATACACACAACAAAAAAGATGAAGCTCAAAATAATTATGCAGAGTAAGAGGCCAGACCAAAAAAAAAAAAAGGTACATACTGTTTGATTCTAATTATATAAAACTCTAAAAAAAGCAAACTAAAGCTACAGTAACAAAGCAAATTGGTGGTTGCCTACAGAAAGGGTCAGCAGGAAAACAATGACCAGGAGAGATGAAAATAAGGAAAGAAGAAAGTTTGAGTGTGATGGAAATATTCATTATATTGACTGTGGTGGTGATTTCACAGATATACGCACATGCCAATATTTTGCAAATTGTACCCTTTAAATATGTGCCATTTATTGTATATTGATTATAGCTTAATAAGTTCTTTTAAAATTTATTGGGGAAAATGCCAAAGTGAATATCAAAAAACACTGTGTTCATATTACACTAATGAAAGTTTATCTATATTAAGGTAACCTTTTGGTCTCACTTACAAAATAATATCTTTGTTATGGACAAATAAAGTTCTGAGATGTCTAACTTAACAAATGTGTACCTTTCAGTAGGTTCATGACAATGAAAGATGTAAAAGGCCCACTTGTAATATTCTTGACTGAAAGTTTCCACTCATCAGCAAAGTTAAAATCAAATAATACCTTTCAGGCTTCAAGAGTTAATTTTTTAAGGGGTTAACTTTAAAAACACTCTGCCTTTATAAGGATACATAATGAAACTTTATGCTCTGAGAAGTATTTTCTAAACAGAATTCTAAACAAAATTTATTTGGCTTGAAAACCTTTAGGTTTTTACAGGACACTTAAGTGAAAAAGAACTGTACTCATTAAATTGAAGAGTTTTTTTGCAATTCAAATATTATGCTAATTATCAATGCAATAGATCTCCTGAAATGTTACTTAGCTACCATTTTTTTCAGAGTAGTTGTTTAATATTCTTTTTCTCAGACATAAAGATTTTATAATACATTTATATCAACATTTGTCATTGTTTACTAAACACTATTTAAAAATTCAGTAGAAGTTCTTGCCTACAATTTTTTAATGATCTCTAAACAGAGTTAAATGAGCACTTGGTCATATAAGAGAGAGTACTGAAATTACGGCACATTCATTTTTCAAGACTGGTAATAAGGACTTCTACGTTCTCTACAGTGAATAACTATAATAATACTTACAGATGAAATACATGCAAAGAGGATTTTTAAAGGATTACAAGGACCTAAATACTTTGGAGATGTACATGGATATACAGATTTTCTTCCTTAAAAATCCAAGCATTGCAGAAGAGGTTATATACAAAAACATAATGGTAAACACATATCAAAACCACTAATAAATATGCAAAGAATAAGGAGAAAGAAATTCAAACACATCCCTAAACAATTAAGCAAAACATGAAAGAAAGACAAGGATCAGAGGACATCTTTAGAAACAATCACAAAACAAATAACAAATTGACAATAAATACATATCCATCAATAAACTACTTTGAATGTAAATGTACTAAATGCTCCAATCAAAAGACATAGGGTGACAGAATGTAAAAAAAAAATCAAGATCCATCTATACGCTGCCTATAAGAGACTCATTTCAGACCGAAAGATATTTGCAGATTGAAAGTGAGGGGATAGAGAAACATCAATCATGCAAATGGATGGCAAAAGAAGGCCAGAGTAAAAAAAATACTTATATTGCACAAAACAGACTTTAAAACAAAGACTATAACAAGAGACACAGAAAGACACTATATACTAATAAAAGGGGTAATCCAACAAGAAGATATAATGATTGTAAATATTTATGCACCCAACAGAGAAGCACCCAAATACATAAAAGTTAATATTAAAAATAATAACAATAACAAAAATAAAGGAACTAATTGATAACAATACAGTAACAGTAGGGGACCTTAACACCTCACTTACATCAACGGACAGACCATCTAAACAAAAAATTAACAAGAAAACAATGGCTTTGACTGACACACTGGACCAGATAGATTTAACAGATATATTCAGAAGATTCCATTCTAAAATAGTAGAAATACTTTCTTTTCTTTTTTTTTTAAGATTTTATTTATTTGATAGAGATCACAAGTAGGCAGAGAGGTAGGCAGAGAGAGAAGGTGGGGAAGCAGACTCCCTGCTGAGCAGAGAGCCTGATGCGGGGCTCAATCCCAGGACCCTGAGATCATGACCTGAGCTGAAGGCACAGGCTTTAACCCACTTAGCCACCCAGGAGCCTCTACCTTCTTTTCAAGTGCACATGGGACATTCTCCAAAACAGATCGTATTTTAGCTCACAAAACAAACCTCAACAAATTCAAGATTAAAGTCATACCATGAATCTTTTGGGATGACAAGTCTATAAAACTAGAAATCAACAACAAGAAAACATCTGGAAAGACCACAAATACATGGAGGTTAAATAACCTGCTACTAAACAATGAATGAGTAAGCCAGGAAATAAAAGAAGAAATAAAAAGTACATGGAAACAAATGAAAATAAAAATACAATGGTCCAAAACCTTTAGGATGCAGTAAAAGTGGTCATAAGAAGAAAATTTATAGCAACACAGGCCACCCTCAAGAAGAAAAATCTCAAACAACCTAACTTTGCATCTAAAGGAGCTATAAAAAGAACAAGCAAAATATAAAACCACCAGAAGGAAGGAAAAATAAAGATTAGAGTAGAAATAAATGATATAGAAACTAAAAAACAAACCAAAACAAAAAATAATAGAACAGATCAACAAAACTAGAAGCTGGTTCTTTGTAAAAAATCAACAAAATTGAGAAACTCCTAGACAGACCTATCAAGAATAAAAAGAATAAGGACTCAAATAAGATCACAAATGACAGACAAAAAATAACAACCAATGCCACAGAAACATAAACAATTATAAGAGAATATTATGACAAATTATATGCCAACATATTGGCCAACCTAGAAGAAAAGGATAAATTCCTAGAAACATATAAACTACCAAAACTGAAACAGGAAGAAATAGACGATCTGAATAACCATCAAAGAAATGGAATCAATAATCAAAAAACTCCCAACAGACAAAAGTCCTGGACCAGAATGCATCACAGGCAAATTCTACCAAACATGTAAAGATGAGTTAATACCTATAATTCTCAAACTATTCCAAAAAATATTAAAGGAAGGAAAACTTCCAAATTCATTATATGAGCCCACCATTACCTTGATACCAAAACCAGATAAAAACATCACAAAAAAGAGAACTACAAGCCAATATATTTGATGAACACAGGTGCAAAAATCCTCAATAAAATACTAGCAAA